AAGTTTGAAATTTAACTTTGAAATCATGACCCCACACCCCTGTAAAGGCAATAAAGTTACAAATTTCTTATCATTTCTTTGATTTCTAAGTTTTCTATTTTATTTTCTCGCCATGTACGCTTTACTGCAACTTTTTCGATTTGCAAAACTATGTTTTATGAGATGCCAGATTGCCGAATGGCTGATTGCTCGATTGCAGAATTCAACTGAAGTGAAATCACTTGCACACGCTCCCCTTATTGACGCACATCCATCAGATTCACAAAATATATATATATCTATATATAGATTCGTATATTTGCCCACTTAAGTGCATTATATATAATTTGGTGTGTGTGCAATGGAGCTGAGCAAGCTGGAGCTGGAACATCTTGGCCAGCTTATCTATGGAAAATACACATTTAAATCTGAATCGATTTCGGTTGTCTGGCGTGAAAGGGCCAAAAGGAAAAGCGGGGAGCTGGTCGCTTTGGTCAACCCCTATCAACAAGTCTTTGGTCTAAAGCTCTTGAGCCACAAAATCCCTGGGTTTGGGTTTCCCTTCGAAACAGGCAGGACAGGAACACTCAATGTGTGAGTGAGTGTGTGATGGAAGGGGCGAATTTCAAATTGAGAAGCAGGAATCACAATCACCATTCAAGAGAGACATAAGATGGTGTTATTTTTATGCAAATATTACGCATATGACGTTAAAATCTGACTAAGTGGATGCACGAATGGGTATCAGGGGTGGTTTGGCTTTTGGGATAATGAAGTTATAAGATATAAAAATATTGAAAACGAGATTAAAGTTCTTGCATTAAAAGTAGTTTTAGCTCAATTTTCAAATAGCATTAGATGTAGTCGTTAGTTTATTTGATGACAAGACTTACCCTTTCTAATCTGAGGTATTTTTATACCCGTTACTCGTAGAGTAAAAGGGTATACTAGATTCGTTGAAAAGTATGTAACAGATAGAAGGAAGCTTTTGCGACCCTATAAAGTATATATATTCTTGATCAGGATCAATAGCGAAGTCGATTGAGCCATGTCCGTCTGTCCGTCCGTCCGTCCGTCCGTCCGTCCGTCCGTCCGTCCGTCCGTCCGTCCGTCCGTCCGTCCGTCCGTCCGTCCGTCCGTATGAACGCTGAGATCTCAGGAACTATAGCAGATACAAAGCTGAGTTAAGCATGAAGATTCTTGAGGTCCGGGACAGCGCAAGTTTATTACAGCATCCTGCCACGCCCATCTAACGCCCACAAATCGCAAAAAACTAAAATTGCTGAAATCTCAGGAACTATTGCAGTTAGAAAGTTGAAATTCAAAAGTATAATCTTTAGATGGCAGCGCATCTTATAGTGGTACTACTATCCGGCCAACCCACCCAACGCCCACAAGGCTCAAAAGACGGTTTTCGGATTTTCTAGAAAAGCTGATATCTCGGTAACTTATAAGAGATAGAAAGTTCGGATTAAGCATGTATGTTTCTATAATGCTCCCAATGCGAATTGTTTTTTCCAATCACGCCACGCCCACGAACGCCCACAAAACCCGAAAAACCAAAAATGCAAAAATCTCGAAAACTATAAAAGCTACACAATTTTGCTTAAGAACACGTATTTAGGAGATGCCTCTGCAACTTGCCACGAAGTTGCATCCGGCCACGCCCACTCTAACGCCCACAAACCGCGGAAAACTGTGGAGTCTATAATATTATTATGAATGCCTTCGTTTGACCTTGTGTAACTTATTTTTGTTAATATCTATCGACTTACAAAAGATTTTTCAAATCGGAACATTATTTCGCTATTTATGAAGAAATTAAGGTTATAAGGCTCCACATGGGCAGTGACGTCACTATAAGCATACTCAACATACTTCCTCTGACAATAGGTGGCGCCTTGTGAATTTCCACTAGCAAAATTTATATTTTAAAATTGTGTAAAACAGTAACGGGTATCTTATAGTCGCGGCACTCGACTATAGCGTTTCCTCTTGTTTCACCTGGATTGCCATTCCACTTGTTATTTGAATCATTGATTTCAATTTTTTTTTTACAAAACCAATCCATTTGTGATTTAAAGAATGTTTTTAGATTTTCTGTAAACAAAAGAGTACTCTGTGAGTGAAATGATGTGTAAATGTGAAGGGTATGTCGGTTGTAATTTGCATTTCCCTATCCCTTTTAATTCACGGGAAAATGCTTTTTGATTACAAACAAATTTGCATTTCTGGCGGGCCAATATAATTTCCGAATCACGTGATATATGTAATGGGACCAACACAAAATCACATGCGATTCAGTCATAATTTAGGGCACAAATTTGCCCTCTGCCACCATGGGTTAAACAAATACCGAGGTCATGTCGCTGGCGTCTTAAATAAATTAGCTTTGGTTATTGGCCAGGCCAGGCCATGGGCATTCGGCGAACTCGAGTGCCGTTTGGCATAATAATATTATGCGACGCAGATTGAAACAAATACAGCAAAGAGCGTAATTATATTTTGTTTGTCAACCATGATGAAGAAGATTTTGGCCTAAGAATGGGGTCTTAAATGCAGGCCAAACAAATCGGTCCTGGAATGCCAAGTGAGTTTCTCTCAATCTAAAGATATGAAAAGATGGTTTACTTATATTAAATTTAATAACTAAAGACTACGCTAATTTGTCATTTCATTTCCTTTTCTTAAGTTTATTTTCCACATTTGCCTCATTCTTATCATTGTCTTAACTTTGCTGTCTTCGTTTAGGCCATAAAAACGAAAGTAGTTCACTCAAAAAGCCATATTCCTTACCTAGGGACTTCCCCACACAAACATGAAAAACAAAAAAAGAACTTAAGATGGTCTGGAACTTTAGCCAAGAATGGTCAGTGTCCCACGATTCCCCAAAGTGAAGTCGGGAAATGAAGGAAAAATCAGTTTCCCTATTTTCTTTGGCTCAACTTTCCATTTGTTTTTGCCCAAGTTTCGGGTTTTTCTGGGTCTGCTGAAGCTCTTTTCCTTTACACAGAATGTTTATTTTTTGCTTACACTTATCAAAATATTGGGCGTACACATATTGTTTTGCCTGGCTGTCTGCATCAAGCATAAAGATATCGAAGTTGGGTCAACTGGAGAGAGCTCGGACCCTGACCCTTGGATATACCCAATCCACACTTTGTTTGGCCTGTGCCAACACAACAAAACACAAAAAACAAATGGAGATAACAACTTAAAGAGCGAAATTTACCGAAGATGAGATGCTCTCGGAATAATAGTTTTCCTTCCGATTGAATATTTATAAATAAGGAAATGAAAGGGCAAAATAATGAAAGATTATCAGAGGTTTTGAGATTAGTAAGATGAGTCTTACTCGCAGTTTTTCGGTTATATATGAAAATAGTTTTGAATATGTTTAAATGGTGGATGGAACTGACAAGTCCTTAAAGATGTTTCTTAACTGAACTATCTTTTTCCCTTAGCTACTACTCCTTTTAAAAATAAAATTCTTAACAAAATGACTTATAGCCGAAGTTAAGTTAAATTGTTTTAACTCCTCACTAAAGAGAGTGCAATACCCTTAACCGAGAATATTAAGACAGTGGAGAGAAACAATAGAAAAGAGATTGAGATGGGGAGCCATACACAAAAAAATTATCTGCCATGCCACATTCTGTTGAATTTTTCAGCATGTGCGTGTGCGTATATGTGTGTGTTTGTGTGTGTGTGTGAGTGGCGTAACTTTCACTTTGTTGTCCGGGTTCAACCACCCACTGGAAACGACCTTCCCCACACCCACCCACTCACACCGTCAGCCCACTTTATTTGCCCAGTTTTCCACTGCTTAAGTTACTTTTGCTTTACGCTTGAATTTCTTTTTCTTGCCGCTTCCTTAGCCTTTTGGTTTTTCCTTGAATTCCGAGTCGGTTGCCTTTTGCCGCTTTCTGGTTTTCCCCTTCAGCTGTCGCCTGATTTTTCCTTAGCTCAGCAGCTCATTTTCCATCGAGCATGTGTGCGTGATTTCTTTTGCTACGCTTTGTTTCTGTATTTCCTTCGTCTGTTATTTTCATAAATAAATTTGCATGTCAAATGACATTGTTTATGGTATTCCTATATGAAAGACATATATCACTTGGCCAGATGGAATTGTTGTGCCCTCATCAGTCGTCGTTTTCTGGCGAATGCCAGTATGCGCATCACACGTTGTTGACATCTTTGTTAAAATATGTTTACAAGCTCAAATTAGTAACAGAGAGAGAGAGAGTTTGCCATCTCCTATCTGTATATATATATATTTTTCTGTTTCTCCGACTTCGTTTGTCTGGCTGTCAAAGTTGACAAGCGAAATGAATTCGTAATTGAGTTTTCCGATATGTTTTCCAAGAACCCAAAGTTGGACGCATCCACTCATATTTAATTTGAATAAGAAATTAGTAACAAGAAGATACATTTTTATACCTCGTTTGTTTGCTTTCCACTGAAAATATTCATAGTCTTAATATTTCTCTTTAAAATTCAAATCAATCTAGTTTCCCTATTGATAAGAGGCGCCTTTCTGGCGTCGTTTTTCCCCATCTACCTCAGAGTTCTGGCCTAGGCCATAATTATTTCAACGCTCTTATCGACGCAGCAACAAAACAGCCATAATTATTAAGGATAAGTCAAGCGCAGCACATTTGTTGCCTCTTCTGTTGGGTCCCCCAATAAAAATGCCTTCCTGATTAGCCTGCTCAGCATGTGCCGTGAACTTGTCTTATCTTCCTGGCTTTGGCTTAGGCCAATCTCCACCCAACCTAGAAAAAAAACTCCAAGAAATTTATAATATATCGCTGAGCTAACAAAGGGGATTGTCTATAAGCCAAATAAAGAGTGGGATGTGAGGCAAAAGAAATTATGTCACAGCTTACAGAGATTTGGTTAAATACTTGGAGAGGGAGAAGGATGGAGAAGGGAAAAGGATAAAGACAGGACAATATGCTCAGAAGATATGGTATTAATTGTTAATGCTTGAGATTCTAGAATATTTAAAACCCAATCGATTTCAGACAACACGTGATACTTTATTACACTTGATTCACACTTTCTTCTCTTTAACTTAAGAGTTATCTAGTACAGACGAAGAGGAACACCCAAAGATGACTTGATATGAAGTGAGCTAACATTTCGCCAGTTATCTTTCAGCAGGGATACCAGAAAATTAATCGAAATAGTTAAGTTTTGAGTTAACTCCTCTGCCTGCATGCCAACATGTCCAACATTAACCGAAAGACACACCATCTTTTTCATCAGCAACTTCTTGGTGGATAGTACCTTGATTTTGTAACTCATCGATTCCTTGTGAGTCAAAGGGACAAGAAACTTTCCTGCATTGGTGAAACCATGACCCACTAGCTTTGGGATCTGCTTGATTATCGATTCGGAGGCCAAGAAGGCATCATAGGACTTGGCCAGCTTCTTAATCAACTTTTGATCCTTGTTGAGTTTCCTGATGGCATCCATATCCAGGCAATCCAAGCCAATGGCCTTGGCCTGATAACAATGCTGTTGATCTCCGAAGATGCAGACCTTAAATCGTGGAACTGCCAGATGATGTAGAGTAACACTTCCATGGAAGCTCTTGTATTTTTCAGGATCATAGTCCCGAAGTCCAATCTGCAGCTCTACATTTTGCAGGCGGTCACTATCCTGGTCCGGCGAGTTTTGTAGTATATTTTTGACAGCCGCATAGAGCAGTTCATGAGATACTTTCGATGTCATAATTTACGATTTACTGTATATATATTATACAATTTTTGGAGACTTTTTTCTAACGTGTTGTCAGCACAAAATTTAAAATGAATTATGAAGTTAAAAGAGATTTTGTAGGTAAATACGATGACAGCAAAATAAATGATATAGAAATTTCGAAATTGAAATTTAGTCAGTGAGTTTCTGTTTCAGTTTAATCTGAAATGCTTTAAATTTATTATTAAATAAAAAATCAATATTTTTAATCAACTTAGAGATAATTTATTTGAATAAACTTAAATTTGATTAAACTTAATTTGATTACTCTGCACATGTTTAATTTTATTATTAACTCGAATTCATTTAAACTCATAAATCGCATGACGGAGTTCTCTTTATGACTGCAAGACCTTGTGTCACTTTGGTCCCAGGCTGTGCATAATTGATTGGCCAAACTGCAATCGATTTACCAACCTGAGGCTCCAGTGCATTTTGCCACTGGCCAAATTGGAAATTTCGCATGCCGCACGGCAGATGCCAGTTACCAGATGCCACTTTCCACTCTCCACTCGAAATTCAGGAGCTCAGCTGGTTAAGTTCAGCAGTTCAGGCCAGTTCAGGTCAGTACTCATCAGGTTAGCTGAGGTTTCAGGTTCCTTCGGTTGGGTTCACATCCGCCGAGTTTTGCGCTAATTAGGATAGTGTTGCCGCCAGGTTTCTTTTATTTTGGGGCACAGGAACACACAGTACAGCACTTTTGCACCGTTGACAACATTTGTCGTCCTGAGGTCACATTGCTAGCTGGAAATGCAGGCTGGGCTTTCTGGCTTGTGTGTAATTATAAACGAAATTATAAGCTGTGGCCGTGCGCCGTGTGCAGCGGAGATTAAACTGGAAATTGCAATTCGGTCTGCTGTCTGACATGATCAAGATCCTTGTAACGGGTAGGATGTGAACGGACATCACGGCGGCGATGAGGATTTGTTGCCTGCCAGTGCTAATTTACACATTTTGATTGCTCCCACAACTGGCGGTGGGAATCACCTTCTCTTCCAATCCCCACTCAGTCGCGTTTTCGCCTCCGCTGATAACATTATGCGGCATTTTTCTACAGCTTAATGCATAATTTGCGTCCTGGGAATAACGACAGTCAGCCGTAGTAAAGCACTGAGAGAAAATGTTACTAGAAAGTTAAGCTCTTTGATGATTAAAAAGGGAATTCTATCTTTATCTTTCAAACTTTCCTTATATCACGGATTACAGCTTAAAATATTTGATGATTTTTCATTTGACTTTATTAATATCTGTTTTTTCCAGTGCAGCAGTTTCCTAAGCGTCGTAGAAGATTTTCCGGGTGACGATGGCTGAGTTCTTTGGAAGTACTTACTGCCCTAAGATTATTTCACGTTGAGCTGCTTATTGGGCGGCATTTTCGGGATTTGGTTCTGGCACAGCGCCCACTTCCTTGACACTGGCTTTTCCTTCATTCAGTGTTTATCAAGATGTTGCTACTATTTCCCGGGTTCCAATTGAATTGTCACCAAAGTGGGTGCATTTAAGCCAGGAAGCAGCTCAAGGTGAGTGTACGTTATGCTGGTTCGGTAGGCTTAACGAAAAATAATCATATATGGAAAATTCTAAGAAGAAATATTAAACTTTTTCATTATATTAAAGAAGAAAAGAGAGACAAATAACTAATTGGTTTTTAATTATGTATCGAGTGACTAAATTCTAATATACAAGTTCTTAGTAAGTTATCTGGTTCCCATACGAAATTGCTTATTTTATGAAGTGGCCGGCCAACTCTGAGGTATTTCTCCTAACCATTACCCAAATAGTCCCTTTTTCTGCTGTTCAACTCACATTTGGGGTGACCCTCCTACAAGCCATCGCACAACTCATAAATGTTAAGTGTCTCGTAGTCGATCTGTGAATGCCAAAACGTTCAATCGCCTTCCTCAGCCATATCATATATCGAATATATATATATATAGTATGTGTCCGAACTTATACTCCTGGCCTAAGACATTGCCAGAGTTTTTCGCATTTTTGCACTTTCAGGCCAAACCTTTTTCTAATAGCAAATGTCAATTTATTTTTGGGGTAGAGAGAAAAAAACGTAATAAGCAAATACTTGGCATAATTTGGTCCGAAGCTTCTGGACTTTAACACGCCAGGGGACATGGACTTTTGGGCTCGGACCACTGACGTAATCAAATCGGCAATCAGTAAGAGATATATATGCGCATCAATGTGCCTGAAGGGTTGGGTCTTTCGGCCCATATCCTTCCTATATCACTCACCATATCCTCCTCAACCCTCCTCCTATCGTCCATGCCATATATGTACAAAAAATCCGTATTGGATGGCCATGGCAAACATTTTGGATGAGAAAGGGACCCACTGGTTGCCTTGCCTGCAGCTGAATCTTTTTTTGAACTGTCCCTAACAGTGCGTAAATTGCCATTTTCAAATACATTTCAATCCGCACATACATATCTGAATGTATATTCACAGATTTTTCCAGAGGACAACAAAAGTTTAAATACTCTTGCGGGCCAATTTTCAAACTGGCCAAATGGTCGTTGAATGTTTTGCATTGCAAATCGATAAAGGGAATTAGTTTTACGGCAGTTAAGCTGCTCGATTGTAAATAAAGATGATTTCAGGTTTTCAGTTTATCTGCATAAATGGAGTATAAAGAGAAGTTGCTTGGCTTAGACAATAGCTGAGTTTGCTTGTTTTATTACTTAACTTGCTTCTTTTTGTTTTTAAGTTAAGAAAACCATAAAATAAGGAATTAGGAATCATTCTTAGCTTTTTTATTTATCAGCCTTTCTACACCATTACTTATTGATATTTTCATCTAGAGTCAGCGCATTGCAACGTCGTTAAATATTTATGAAAAATCCCTAAGATTATGCCTAGAGTTCAGTTTATAGATGCTGCCGCTGTTTCTCTTCGGATGAATGCGAATTTTATTGCTTCTGATGCCTGACCTTTCCCCTGTCAATCGACATCGAATGGCGACTACTGGCATGTCTCGCATTGCGCAAACGCCCCGTTAGCCCGTTGTCGTAATGCGAGTGCCAAACAAAAACTTCAATTGTCAACTGCTGACGCCCGATTCACGCTTTCGTTTGTAGCCAGCACTGCTGCTGTGTTTTGGCCCGTTATTGCTCTGTCATTTTATCGTCAGCGGAGACTGTCTTTGATCTCGGCACGCGCCTCGAACTATGCAAAGCATTTTTTCGCCACCAGTCGACCTTTTCGCACGCACGTGCCTGAAATGTCAGCAGAGCCTTTCACAATCCCACCCCCACACACACACGGTCTTTGCCAGAATAGTGTAGCATACTTTCGGACCACTAAATACCAGAGGATACTCGAGGAAAGTCCGGAAATGATAATGAAATTCAATCGAAATTTTATAGTTTTTTTGCTTATGGTCTGCATAATTTTTTGGGGGATAACTTCATACTTTGGTTGGCATACAGATGGAGCTACATTAAAAGGAATATGCGAGAGGAGTTTCATAAGTTAAGAAGGTAATTTTTGATATCGTTTTTAAAGAAAACTGTTTTTTTACTCACTTACTTACTTTTTCCACATAAGTTATGTAATACTATAAATGCACAGACTATCTTTACGAAAAAATCTTAAACTATATATTTTTCCTGACTACCTTATCTTCAAACGTTAGCGGATTTTACGATCTGCTCATCATCGCCCCCAAGTTCCCAAGCTTTACATCAGCTACTTGAGTTACCTTCCAACAGCCAACGACACCTCCACCGACCACCTCCCGTATAGTAGCTGCTCCACCATTATGTTTTATAATCATTTTACAACCGGTGTGATATTTAGAATATGACCAAAAGTTGCTTCATCGTTTCTGTTTTTAGGGAAAGTTTTGGCCATGGCCACAGCATATCTGAGCAGCTGCCCCTTTAGCCCACCGAATATGGTTTTTAGTTGCAGGCGTGGGCGGAAAAGTTGGTAGCAACGCCACATGGCAGATGTGTTTGGTTGCCGTTGCTGCTGCTGGTGTTGTTTTTATTTCGTTTTTTTTTTTTTTATAGTGCTGGCCATAAAGTACTTAAAAGTTTCATTTTACGCCTATTTTGCCGGACGAGAGGACCATTATCAGAGAGAGAGAGAGAGCCGGAGCCACCAAGTGACCAACTGACCTGGCCAGAATTCACCAGATTTCCATGCCCCCGGCTGGCTGGCAAAAATCCAATTTGCCAACATTTTAACAATCATTGCCGACGGGCACTTCAGCAACTCATATTGTGGCCATCCACTTTTAATTGCTTGCCTAAACAAATAATATTTGAGTAGCATATTTCCGGAGGTTTGGGTGTTGGGTACACAGAGGGAAAAGTCTTGATTTTACTCATAAAAATAAGCCAGCAAAAGCTGTTTTAAATAAATTCTAGTAAATTATCTGAAGTTGGACATTTTTTTATGATTTTTTTATTTAAAGATAGATAGATCTTATGATGCCTAAGAAAATGTCTTCTTCGAGTGCACCAATTAATAGCTGAGAAAGAGCGTAAAGTGGATTTAAGTCAGCCGAAAAGGTCAAGGGAAAGGGCCAAGATGCTGGGCGATTGGGAGGTAATTGCACGTCAGCTCGTCGAGATCTCCAACCTAAGGCTCGTCCTTCTGTCAGAGAAAGTTGTGCCTATCAATATGCGCCAGCCTGATGAATGCCATCATCATCATCATCTTCTTCTTCTTGGGCTCCGTCGTTCGTCGTAGTAAAAATTTTAATAACTGTATTCTGCAAAGGACATTGAATGTCCTGAGCCAGCTTGTTTATATTTCCTTTCGCGAGTTCTCTCTCTCTCTCTCTCTCTCTCCCTTTCTCTCTGTCTGCAGCAAAGTTTTTTAACAATTTATTTTTATTTTAGATACATTTTTTGAACAGCTCCCTCGGTTTTTGCCTTTTGCCGTTTGCCGTTTGCTCCACTTAAATACAAAACGTCCGCCCGCCTGCTAATGGGTTTTCTGCCCGGGAAAATGGGCGTGGAAAAGTGGGCAGAATCTGGTTCAGTTTGGCCGTTCTCGTAAACTATGAGTGCCTTTGGCCTGAGTGGTCAGAATGGAAAACGGAAAACTGAT